TAATGCCTCTTAAGGGTTAATTACCTTATTTTGAGAGTTCCCCACTCTAGCAAGAGGAAATGGGCACACATTTTGCTTGCAACTGCATTCTTCTTTAATTATATGTAAGTCACTCTGGGTGGCTTTTCAGCATAAAACCTTTACTAAAATAAATAATACACACATCCAACACCTACTAGAGTCTGTGATCCAGTATGCTAAGCTTTTACCTGCGGCACAAGTCCTAGTGTAGTTGTTGTACATGAGTTGGTGTTGCACACGACTGGTTTTGCACATTAGCAGTGTATCTACTTCAAGATTCCAGTAGTCAGCCTAGCAGGGTTTGTATCGCTGTAAATGGACAGATATGTCCTTCCGCTCACACATTCTCCAGTGTGAAGAATTACCCACCACTGTAATTTTATAACCATTTGCTAAATATATATAATAGCAAATTTACTCAGAATGACCTTGTGTGATGTGAACTACCAAACTTAAGAACTGTGATTTATTTTAAGAAGGTTCCAACAAGCCCGGAATACATATAGAAATAAAGTTTTTAAACCTAAGAATTTTATAATGGATAAGCTTATATTATAACATTCTTTAAGATCTTGGACTGTGTGGAAATGGACAGATTGACTTTGTCTCTGAGGGAGAAAGAAGATACAGACTTCTATCAAACCTGGGACTCTTTTTATCATTGGCTAGAGAAACGGGACTATGCATAGACTTAAATATGTTTATAGTTTAACATAAGAACAAATGTGGGGGGCTGACCCGGCAGGTCTGATGTTTTCGATGATTGATGCTTTTTAGTTTCTTTTTGTTAGGTATATTAAGAATAAAACTTATTCCAAAAAAATTATAACATTCTTTAAATTTAAGTTTTCTACTTGTTGTCTGGAAGTAAAAACCTGATGAACATAAATGTTTCCAGAGCTGGGGATCAGCGAAAACAGGAAAACCACCTTGGGGAATGCAGAGTCAGAAACAAAAAGTACATATAGTATTGTGTGTATTACTTTCTAAATACAATACCAAAAAAATTAAATTCTCCAAAACACCCAGAAACATCAAGCAACAAAAAATGCCAACAAAAGGACAGAATACTGAAATCGGTGCAGCGTGACTCCCAGCCAGCTCCCACAGAGCCTTCTCTCCCCTCTCTGCACCCCCCCAGTGGCATCAGTGCACCCCCCCACGAGCATGATGCCAACCAAGGAAGAGGTGGTGGAGCACAACTAGACCCCATGCCAGTGCGCAGTGACCAAGATGCACCCCTCCATGGACTGACAGGAAGCCTCCCATGGACCAGCACTGGTCTATGGACCGGAGGTTGAAAACCACTGCTTCAAACAATTAAAAGACTGATACTAAAGCATTAGAAAGATAAAGTGCACCTATTCTGCAACAGATTGATAACTGAATGCTTCCAATATTTCAGTAGATAGCATACAGACATCACTCTTAAATGGATATATATACAGAAAGAGCAATTTGATCTGCCTTTGAACTGAACCATTTGGCTTTATGCTGCTATTTCAATATTTACAAAACAGTGTTTATTAATTTCAGGGAAGGTCTTGATTTTATCTCTTGCTTTTGGTCTTTTGTGTGTTCCATTTTATACTGTTTTCCAAAAATGCACAATAAAATGAGTAAAAAATCTAAAAACGCTTTTATTTCAAAAATCATTTTATGTTAAGTTTTTACTCAAAAGAGAATAAAAGCAAATGTATTAAGCCATTTGCTTTCCAATTATGAGCATCACTATGAGAATGGGGGAAAGAAAAAAGTAGCACAGAGAGCTTTTGAAAATGTATGTAACTTAATAAAAATACATCCACAAACTTCAAGAAACTTCTTGTTAAGTTTCAAACGGATGTGAAGTGTTTATACAGTCTCCATAATATGGGGGCATGTAGTCATTTTATCACTAGTATATAAGCACATACACAAACAGCTCCAAATTGCGAAACTTCAGAAATATGCTAAAGTATTGATATACCTTTTAAAAAATCAACTAGCACAATGCATTATTCTTCACATGCTTTAAACATGACAGCCTTACTTACATCAAGTCATTCATAGTCCAGGATGAAAAGTGTATGCCAAACATATAGTTTCCTACTCAACACAAATCAGATTTATTTCACAGAATCAGAACTCAACCCTGTATTAATTGCTTCAGACCACTTCCACTTTCCTTTTGCTATAACCTAGACATTTTCCGCAGATAAAAGCAAGAACTGCATAGAAAGCCAAAGCCTACAAAAGCATACCAAAACAGGGCGAAGTTTCCTGTTCTATGGGAAAAGGCACACCTGGTGTAACCTGTGCAGAGATACGCCCTTATCTCTGCACTTAAGCTTTTCTACTAAGCCCTGTCCACAAAACTGATTGACAGTTCCCTTTGCAAAATCTACATAGGTGACGACAGCAGCAGCCGCAACCATAACCAACTCCATGTATATTTACCGTAGCATACCACCAACTTGCAAAAGCCATGCTGGGTACTTGCTCCCTCCTCCTCCTCTCCTTCGAACTTCAGCTTAGCTATTACTAACCGCGCTTACACACTCGGCCTGCGAAAGGCTTGGTTGCCTCCTCCAGTAAGGCTGGGCAGGTTTCCACGCAAAGGGGCGTGGAAGCTGCCGCTTGCGTTGCTTCGGCAAGCCCGCCCCTGGCAGTAAGACATCGCGGGCGCAGATTTAGTAACTTTTGCGCCTGCTACGGCACTCCTCTTGGGCTTTGCGGTGAACTGTTAACCCACAAAGAGCCTGCAATTAATACGCTCCGGCGTGGAGAAGCAATGCACTCTGGCCAAGCATGGGAAGGCCTTGTTTCTTCAGGGTACATGCGCGAATCGCATCGCCGGAGCGCATCTCCCTTGGTGAAAGCTAGATAGGCTGCCTTGAAGTGAGGCTACATTTCAGTAACCCATATCCTACGAAGAAAGATAGGCAGGCAGGCAGGCAGAAAAAGACTCTTCGTTTCTTCCTCTCCCAAGGCCCATTGCTGTGTTATCCTTTTATGTTCCCCAAATGATTTCATATCTGTTAAGAAAAAGTTTGTTTTTCTATAGCCAAGAAGTCAAGGCGGGAGTTCCCAGCAAAGGAAAGGTGTTCCCCGCATGACCAAGAATCAACAAACGGCTTATCGTTATTAGCTCTGATATTTATGGAAGGGCTTGTCTTTTGGGATTGGGGGAGATCATAGAACCGCCCAGAGAGCCTCTCTGGCTAATGGGTGGTATATACATTTTAAAATATATAAAATAAAATAATGTGGCAGGGCGGGGCAAGTCATCCTCTGTTGGAGTGGGAGGGGGATTAGCAGGCTGGTTTTACCTACATCGCAATATTGTACCTAAATACTTTTTTTAACCTCATAGACTGAATTGCAGTTTTAGTATAGGGGACAAAATTAGGGTTGCGCGGGGGGGGCAACTTATACAATCTGCCCAGGCACCTCCAAAGCAAGGGACCCCCTGGCTCCACTCCTGCCCCTACCTATGTTGATGCCCACAGCAGTGCTAAGCAGAACCCCAAACACGGTTATGCCTACGGTTAAAGGACAGAGGCCAGGCTACATTTATCACATAATCTGTTAAGAAACAAACGTACTCTACACCACAGAGCTTCCCGATGAATTCAATGTCAGTTTCTTGGGCGTAGGAATGTTGACAAAGCCAGAAAGCATGTTGGAAACTGGCTCTTAGAAGGCGTGGCGTCGCAGGACTTTTCTGCGGCTTTGGAAAAAGGCTTTGGTCTCCTTTCTCAAAAACTACCCTTCAAATTAAATTGTAAACGGAATAAGCTGCACCAGCTTACCATCTGCTCCTCCGCAGGGAAGGAAATGGAAACACACACCTCCTTAAGTTATTTTGAAAGAGTGAGGCTGGAGTCCAAGTCACACCCATTTCCTAAAGAAAATACTTGGGACAATCTTTTAACTCCAAGCCCCGCCCGGCCTCTCCCATCTCTCTCCACGTAACATTCTCTCGCTCTCGCTCTCGCTCTCTTTCTGTCTGGAGCAGGAGATGGTAGTGATGAATGCCTGAGTATATACAGAATGCCCTCCATCAAAACAGAGAGGACCCACGGGCAGCTCATCTGGGATAAGCAGCCAGGGCAGGGCTTCTAGGCACACTTGAGTCCTCGGAGTTCAGAAACAGCTGACTGGAGGGGAAAAGACTCTTGCGCCACTTCAAAGGCGAGCACTCAGCGCGCAGGGCATCAAGTTTCAAGGGATTCCATCTCCATTTTAAAAATGGGGCAAAGTAAGCGCCGCAAGACTAGAGAGGGCGGCCCCTCTGGAATGTGTTTAGAAGCGACTCCGATAATCCTTACACACCCACGCCACTCGGGAGACACCCTGGGCTCTCATCTGTGACCGCCATGACAGAGGGGGGATCGCTGCCGTCTGATAGCGCCCCGCCCACAAGCCCGAGCGGGCGGCCACTTTTCCCAGGTCAGCCAGACCTGGACGTAGGCGCACATGGACGGCGCCCACCCTCCCTTCTCTCCGACGGGGGCGACTATTCGCCCGCTCTCGCCGGGCGGCTATTTCCGCTCATTCTGACTCCCCACTATGCCCTACGAGGAAGAGAGCCGTCGCCCTTCGCTTTCCAAGTTCCTGGGCAGAAGCGGGAGAGATTCCGTTCCCCTGGCATGCCCCGTCCCGTTGAGGAGGGGGAGCTGCCGCGTCCTCCCTGGCCCGGGCTAGTCTCTCCCCTGAGCCGCTGCCTGCGCGCACCGGGCCCCACCCACTGCCCCGGGCTCTCGTCCCACACCTTGCTGCCGCCTTCTGGCGCCCAGCCACAGGGCGCTGGCAAATTCTTGCGCCTTGGCACAGTCGCGGCAGCGCGCCCCACCTCTCCTCCTCCTCCGCTGTCGGCGTCTCTCCCAGCCTTCTACCCGGCAGGGAAAGCGGAGGAAGCCCTTTTTCCGGACGGCCAGCCGAACTCGCCCCCGGGGCTCCGGTCCCTTCATTTCCCTCCTCCGCGCCCTGCTTACCGCTTTGCCCGCCTTGGCGGGTTGCTGCTTCTTGCCTTTCGTTGGCTGCGACATGACAGCTGAGGAGGCGCTTTTGCTTCGAGTCGCGCTTTCCCCCTCCGTAGCGTGTTTACGGGACACCGCAGTAATTCCAGTGCAGAAGGAAGAGACGAAGGGGGGGGGGAGGCAGCGCGGGTGGAGGCAGGGAAGGAGAGACGGTCCGAGCAGCTATGAAACCGCTATTCCGACGCCCCCCGTGCCAGAGCCTGGGCGCTGCAGCACGGCTAGTCCCTCCTCTTCCTGTCGCTGCTGCCGAAGTAGAACTAACAGTCCAAACTCTGCGAGTTCGGTATTTCTTGACGAGGGAGGGAAGTTGGGCTCGGCAAGGGATGCTGGACGGCCGGTTTTTTTGTTTGCCCAGTCATGCCTTGTAGACTTCAGCTTATTCTTCTACTAAGAATGCTAACGGAGCCTGCCGGGCAAGGTTTAATTTTATCTGGTTTGACCCGAGCCAAGTTTTATCATGCAGCAGAGGACTGAACCATCCCATTCTGTCTCCCTCACCGCAGTACCTCCAGCTTCCACTTTGCCGGTGTGTTTCTTTTCCCATATCAAAACCACAAATCACCTTTGTTAAAAACTCACTGCCCTATCTAGAGTCAAACAACGAAAGTTAAGCAGGAAACAAGTTTGCTTCTGGTGAATGGCTGGAGGAAGGCAGCTACCCTGGGGATCCCTTTTTTGGAAGAAAAGTAGGCATTCACTGAATAAGGCTGCAATCCCACATACTTGGAAGTAAGTCTTCTTGGATTTGGTGGGGATTCCATCTGAACAAATATGAGTACTCATGCATTTTCAACAAAAATGTTTATTTAAAACTCATTTTACTGCTAAGCATGGGCAGTAAGACTCGTTAAACTTAATAGGACTTACTTCTGAGTGGACACACAAAGAATTGTCCTATAAAAATAAGGACTTTGAGTTGGGCTCAGAAGCAGGTAGGCAACCTGTGCAGCTCTTACAACACTGGTGAGATGAGCATTATCTGTCCTACTTTGGGTTTCCCATGGACAGCTGATTGGCTATTATGCAAATAGAATTCTGGACTAGCTATACAGACTGACTAGACAGCTCAAGTGTTCAACATCTGCCAGCCCAAGGGCCATATTAGAGAAGTTCTAGGCTGTATTCCAGTGATGGGCAGGGCTACAGACAAAAGGGGCAGGACCAAAATACTGGCATATTGAAGTTCTTATTGCCACTAATCAAGAACAAAACTACACCAAATGCTAATCATGTTGTGTGTAGTTGAGGCTAATATTCTGACTCTTATGCAACTTCATAGGTCAAATTTGGATTGGGATCATGATGCTTATGGGATTTCCTCCCAAATTATACACACCAAGGGATGATTAAAGAAGGGTAAGAAGTCACAGTTTGAGTCAGTGAAGGCTTCCCCTGCTTTACTTAATTCCCTCATGGGAGAAATTCCCCAAGAAAAACAATGTGGGGAGGTAAGAAATCCTCAGCTATTGAGGGAGTATGAATAAATAAGTTAGGCTGGGGGTCCATGACTGGCCCAAACCCACCCAGGGAGCTTCATGGCTGAGAATTCCAGTTCAGCACTCTCACTGCTATACCAATACACCTGCATGTGATTGTGTGAAATAAGAACAGCTTCAGTTCTGTGCTACACTTTTAGCATAAAGTGTAGTTTGACCCTATTCGTTGTTTGTTTATTATATTTTTCTATCTCCCTTATCACTGATATTCTATGGTGGATTACAACCAAACTTTAAATCCTAAACCATAGGAGAGCCATTTCCACCTTTTGAATGGGGAGTGGAGGGACTGCACAAACAGGAAAAGGGCCACACAAGTAGGGTATGGTCATTCGGGGAACAGGGTCTGACCCCCTGATATAAGCCTTTATTTTGATCCAGCACAGCCCTTGTTATGTTCTTAGAATCTGAGTGAAATAAAGAGTAAATGAATATTCACAAAAAAGCTTTACAAAAATGTGGGAAAGTAAAATATATCCAGTTATAACAGTATTGAACACATTTAAATAAACATAAAAACAACAGTGCTGAATGTGCCTTTCAACAGTGCCTTTAGAAATGCTTGGAGGAACAATAGCAAAAAATACTAATTTGGCTCTGAAAAGATACTAGGCAAAAGCACGCAGACTGCTTGCATAAGCACATTCCAAAAGTTTCTGGTGCTGTTAATGGAAGAATTTTTTTCTATGTCATTGTCGAAATAAATATCAAATTAAAACTGGTGAAACATTGTCATCTGGGAAAATTATAAATGGAAGAAACTAAAGGTCATACAGTAAAGGCTGCTGGAGGCCAAACTCCATAAAGAGCCTAAGCGCTGCCACAGATTGTTATCCATGGGACTCCTTTATCTATACCAGAAAATCTATGCTTTCTTTCATAAAATAATATTTTGGGGAAACAGTTTCCTCTCCATGATTATTTTTGAAAACATCAACCAATTAAATAAAGTTGATTAGGTCTTCTGGATCTTGCTTTATATTATCAAGCTTATCTGCTGACTTGTACTGATTTTTGGTCTTTCTCATCTTTATCAGATCTCATGTCTTGGTCAGTTCCAGGATCTTCTTGTCTGGTATCTCTCCCTGACTATACCATTTGGTTCTTGACATATAGCAAGTGTTCTTCCACAGTTTCTGTAGTTGCAGCTGTGTGGTATATAATGTCATAGCAATTACACTTTGCCATTTTCTCAAGCTAAATAAAGTTTCTGGGGCAATCCATGCCTAAATGTTAGTAAGGAAATGGTTGGCATGGACAGATAGGTGATTTTGACTTTGGATCATCTGGTTGGTGCTGATGATGAGCTCTTGTCCTTTTCTATTCTGCGTGCCAAATACAATTTGCTAACTATGGCTGAATAGCTAAAGTTGGAACAACAGCATTTGTTAATATCTAGGTTTGCCCTGGCCTCAAAAACTTCAGCTTTTGATTTAGTGGACAGGAATCACTCCCCTCCTGAAATGCAGTAGATTAGGGATAGGTAGCATATGGATGCCACCTTCAAATGGATGACTATTACAATATATGGTCCACTTTTGTTGAAGTCTATATATACTTGCTATACTTCATATATTCATATATATGGATTTCATATCTACTTGTTTTTATGGAGAGAGACACATTCATGCATGTATATTTTTAAAAATAAAGCTGCTGCCTGCCTTGGGGTACAAAGTATACAACAGCTTCTATTTAATCACAAAGCCAGAGCCTACTGTGCTATGAGACACTTCATGCATGGGACTGTTAAATCATTTCTGTCCATCCAAATGCAGCTCATTGTTCTAAAGCTTTATAGACTAGCCAGCCTTTCTTTGTAGTATGAAAAATAATAAATCCAGTATATCCTGTTGCTTTCACAGTAGCAACAATAGTGTACAGACCTTGCTAGAAACAGCTGACCTTTCATCATCATACTTCAGAGCAATTGAAATACCCCACCCATGGCCTCACATTGCTCCCCAAGCCCTGAAGTTCTCACAAGGCTTGTCTACACTAGATCATGCCATCAGCTAAGATAAGGGGTGAGTTGAGCAACAGAATTCCCAGACTGTCCCACTGGCCCATCACAAGGTGCAAACATTCCAGGTCAGTAGTCAGATAGAAAGGGCACCTGCAGAGGGTGGTGGAATTTCTACAGGACGCAGCAATTCCCTCTCCAGCTCTTATGCCTACCCTGTTACTGAACCATGTACCCTGGTGAGCAAACTGGGAGAGACCAACACCTCCTGGGTCACCCAGCCAGGTTAGCCATGCCAGATTGCCTGCCTTATCCACTATTAAATAAGGAAGGCCTTATTTTCAGCCAGGCTGGTATTTAAAAGCAGCATCTAGAGACCTGAGGGTGGCTGATAGGGAAACCATCAAACCTGCAATTGTGGGGAGTGCCAGAATGTGACACAGCCATTAACTGTGTAGTGCTCACTTGTGTCATTATCAGCCACTTTAGATGCCATCAGATCCACAGCATAAGTATGTCTCTCAGAAGTAAGCCAGAATGAATTCAGCAGGACTTTCAGGTATGCTTGTATAGAAATGCAGCCTCAGAACAGACACATAATTAACTTCAAAGCAGTACAAAAATGCCACCCATCTCCACCAAAAAGTGGGGTGGGAGGGGAAGGAGGAAACATCTCAGTTACCAGCATAGTAGCCAAACCTCTGAATTCCAGCATAAGCTAGAAAAGGAAACTAATAAATGATGGCAAAATTGACAGGACACAGACTTAATGCACCATGTAAAGCATTTGATGTGAACATAAAGCATTTAATCATCTTGAAATAAAACGAAGCATATCTAGTTCACATAGACCTACAAAAGGGATTACTCCCTTTTCATACATGTCTCCTGGTGCTGCATACTGGATGCATAGGGCCAGAATTGCTGAGTGTCGCATTCCCCTGCTTTTCAGTGTTTCAGTTGCCCTAACCTTGTACTTTACCTCTGGCTCTAGCCTAAGTTTTTACCAAGAATATGGAAGCAGATGAGCCTGAGCAATTCTCTCTTTGACCCTGGTTGGCTACAATATGGATAACACTAGCCAGTACACCCCGTATCTCACTCACTGGTATGATCTAGTGCCAACATAAATCCTGCCCAGTCAGAACATACGTCTGCACCATACAGAAATACAAAAACTGAAAATGGAACATTGAACATAGTATCCTCATAGCAAACTTCAGACCAGCACAGATTTCAGAATATCTTCTAAATGTGCATAGTTATTAACCTTGTACAGATTTAACTGCTAGCGCTACAACCACCATTTGCAAGTACCGTGGGACCTTGGTTCATGAACTTAATCCATTCCAGGACTCTGGTCGTGACCCAAATTGGTTGTGAGCCAAGTTAAATTTCCCCATAAGGTTCAATGTAAATAAGGTTAATCTGTTCTGTAACTATTTTTTTAATCAGAAAAATGTGAAGCAAAGTGACAAAGAACAAGAAAGATCGTGGCCATCTTCCCCCCCACCCCGAGCATGAGTGCGGCCATCTCCCCGCTCCCCCAGCACAATGGTGACGCATCCAAGGAGCGCTTACATCCATATATGCCCGACCGCCCCTTGAGATCTGCGGGAGAGGCCCTTCTCCGGGAACCCTCCATGAAAGAAATTAGGAGGGTAGGTACTCGGAGGAGGGCTTTCTCTGCGGTGGCGCCCAATCTATGGAATGTGCTCCCCAGAGAGGTCCGCCTGGCGCCATCGTTATTTGTTTTTCAGCGCCAGGTGAAGTCCTTTTTATTTCAACGTCA